GACATTCGCCCGTCGACATCATTACCTTTCCATGCCGTATGTAGCACCACATTTATTAGTTGGTCCTCTGGACGCCAGCACATGCCGGCCTCCTTGGCAACGAGGAGGCTCATTCTCTAGCCCGAGGTCTCACATTCCGGGCAGGAGAAATGGAGCCCCCTCCACAGGTCGAGGAGCGCTTGCTCTCTTTTCGTGATATTCTATCGTATTACCGGGAACAACGAAGAATATACGCACCCCCAGCCCCATCCCTAAACATAGCGCAGGCCACACATTGGCGACGCCTACAAACTCGAACTGCTCCATACCCCGTATTACTAAACGCCCGTTACCCAGACCATTTCCCCTCTTCATGCAAACTTTGCGACAAACCAGGAGACTTCCTCCACATCCTCCTCACATGTCCCACCTTCCCACATCCCCCACCTCCGGCTGTGGCAGTGTCATACTGGGAGACCATCATGACCAGCACTTCTGCGTTCGATCAGCGCCGGATCATCTCGTGCGCCATGAAGAGGATCGCACTTCAAGGGCTTTCCTTTGCTTTGTAAGGGTGCCTCCTCACTGCGAGGGTGCACCCACGTGCCATGAGGGGGCTCGGCCCCCACGCTACACAGTGGCAATAAATGTTTCTACCACCACACTCGAAGCAGTAGGTGGTGAAGTACAACATTGGCGCATGTCGAAGCTGCACTAAATCGACAACGAGGTGTCACATGTCAACATAGCATAAAAGAAAGCACGTATGTGTTGTCATCAAATGTAGTCACAACATACGGCGCACTGAACCGAATAAATAACCTAAAAATGCACCGAAGGCTTTCGTTGCTCCAAGACTATCGTAGCGCTCCCTGTCGGCTCTAGTTAGAGTCGTCATACGATTACATCTTGCCACTACTATAAAATGGCGACTCCAAAACCTCTAACCTAAATTACTCTGCGAGAGAGAAGGTGTGAAAGATATGCAAAGCCCGTTTTTAACGCTTCGTCGCTGGCCGTCGGTAGTCCATTGGGAAGAGGATGGTACCCTTCACCACGGACCGAGAAGTCGTTGTTTCGACTACCTGGCCATCCAAATCAGCTGGAAAGTGGACTATTTGTTTTGGTTTTTCTTTGTCATCTTATTGCGTGCAATTAGTAACATGACTTCCATGACGCTAATGACGTCCTGAAGTCTTGGCGGACACCTGTATGAAACGCGTTTGTGGTAAAAATGGAGCTTTAGAGCTAATACTACGCTTTAAAAGGCCACTCACCAGGCCCCATACCGAATTTCAGTCAGACGGTGGAAGTTGTTGGGTGTCCGATGAGGAACGTTTTGTCACAAAAATTTTTCGAATCGGTTCATTACGAGAGGTGAAAACAGTTTTTTTTTTTTTTTGAAGCGGCACGAAATCAGGGTGAGAGGAGGTGAGCTCAGAACCCTTGTCGCTCCTCCGCGTAGCCTTCGCAGGCCAAATATCTTCCCCACCCTCTCCAGCATCCGAGCATGAGGTGACGTGCGCATGACGTGCCCAAACAAGTCCAACCCCCCGAGCACGCAAGCAGCGTTGCTTTGTTGACCAGCGTTATTTTGTGGTCTTCTGCCTGTTTCTGCGGGATGGTTTAGAAACGCTGGCATAGACGCGGTAGAGTAGATGAGCACAATGAGTGCGCGAACGCGTAGGAGCGTTCCACTGTGGTCGTCTGCTCAATGCGCTGACCACGGGGACACGAACGCATGTGAAACGCTGGCACATTAGCCCCGCATCTCGTAGAATTTCACGGAAAAAATGAAAGAAAAACGCGCACAATTTTTTATTGCGTCTCATTATTTATTTCAAGCTTTATTAAACTCTTAAAGCAACAAATACATAAACTACGCCTGTTGTGTAAAATAATTTTTGCCATGTCACGTGGTATACTGTTGACAACGTGAGAGCAGACTCGTCTACGTAGAGGATCAACGTCACTGTTTTGCCGTGTACGTAGGGTTATTCCTACGCCTATACGTCATGCCCTCATTCTCTACGCGTGCGGCGGCAGAGGGGAGGGGGAGCAGTTTTTATCTTGAAATTTTACCCCTTTCCGCGGCGCGTAGCGTTGCAAAGTTTGGCTGATGTGATCATGAACGCCTCATCTACGCATTGCGATTGTCAGCTCAAAATTGTCAAACCTGGTGAGTGGCCCTTTAAAAGCGCAAGAAAGGCTTAGCGCAGCGCTCTTACCCACCCCACTAAGTTTAAACAAAGCGTATCTGATAATTGTATGGCGATTTTGAGTCGTTAAACCCTAAATGTCTATGAGTTAAATTTAAACAAAACACTCGTGTAACATGATGAGGTTCAGCGCGCACGACAATTGTTGCTGCACAGCGTTTTAACAGCGCTACCAGCGGTAGTAAGCTTGTCGGTAACTATAGGATGACAACTCGGCAATTAAAGCCATCGTCTCTTTTTGATTTTGTGAAATGAAACTCAGGGTGAACAACTTGCTAGTGTCAGCGGGAAATGAAATTATTATAGTGGGGCCCTTCATGCTGCAGTGAAGGGCCCCAAAAATGGTGAACATCTGGTTTTCTTTAACTGGCAAAAGAAATATCTCGGTGCGTTCTATCTATAGTACAAAACTCGGCGATTGAAAAGCAATGCTCAGAGCGACGGGTTGTTAAAGGTGAGCGTAGAAGCGTTTGTTTCTCATACGGTAAACAGTTGCTCGGCCTATTTGTTCATGGTGGATCCGGAAAAATCTTGCCATTCTTTCTAAACAACGCCCGTCATCTCAAGTCACTTCACGCGGCACACCGCGGGAGCGTAGCGGGTAGAAGTCATGACAAGCTAAGTTCCCCAGACGCCACACCGAATCATAGACTGATTGGTATTTTATCTAACGCGGTCTAAATGTCAGCCCCAACACACTCAGTTTCATTGTCAACCTCACACTGAGCAGCCACTCGTTCCGAGTATTGCGGCTGAAGTGCCAAGCACTGTATAGGAGATGAAATGACATGGTGGCGTTCGATTCGTGCAGCTCCTCAACATGGAAATTGTTTTTGTCACTCTGGTTAACCTTGACAGTTATTTAGGCTGAGTAGGTTTTGTCAGGTAAAAAGAGAGTAGGACTAAAAGATAGGGAACGAAGTGAGGCCGAAGAGTGCTAACTTTCAAACTTGTAACTGTATATATATATATATATATATATATATATATATATATATATATATATATATATATATATATATATATATATATATATATATATATATATATATATATATATATATATATATATATATATATATATATATATATATATATATATATAAGTATACTGCAGACCAAGCCTTGGTATAATTGAAGCGTATAATTTCTGCGCATGAGTAATATATTTGTAAGGCAAACCGTGCTAAAGAACCATGCTCTTTTATTTTGAACACAGGGATAAGGAAAAAAAAACGCGCACAAGAAATTAGTTTATTGCATCACTTTTACCATTAATTGATTTAGCTGCTTTCGGAGGTATTCAAGTTGTGTTCTCGCAAACTGGGATGTATCGTCTGAGTCCCCGCCTCTTCACATTTGGATCAAGGCTACTTGAATCGCAAGAACGCGTGCTAGAAGAATTTCATGCTAATGTTAGTCTTGCGGAAAAATAACAGTAAAATGTCATGCTCGCAGATTGGACAGCCATGAGATAATAAGCTAAATCATTCCTACTTAGGTGAACACTCATGAATCGCTTAGTGTGGTGTAACTGTTCTGACTAACAGTTCCTTATATAACCCGCACATATAAGAACTAAATGCTAGTCCACAGAGTGGCGACAGTAATGACTAGCGGTTGAAGAGTAACTGCGTGAAAGCTAATGTAGAAAATAATTTCGCTGTGGAAATAGTTACATCAGCTTCCTTTGCCCAGCTTGTGATGACGTGCGCATCACTTTGAAAGGATCCTAATGTCAACTATTAAGCCGACGTTGGTTGTTTTATTGATGGTTCAGAAACCTTGTAGTGGTGTTTTTGTGCCAAGAAATGGGCTATCTTGAAATAAATTCACGTTTCAGTAGTCCACATTGGGTTAGCCTCAATGCTGACTCAAGAAGCTGACTGACCGGACCTACTCACGTTACTGCTGCCATGCACAACGTTGCCCGGCTTTACTGTGCTAGTATAGCAGCAGCCCGAAAGCAGTGGGACCCACAGCAGCAACAACGGCCTTTGATCAATTTACTTCTATTGGCTCCGAGATTGCAGACGCTTTTGTTTCAACTGCGCCCTACTAGACGGCACCAGATGCCTCGAGTAACCACACGAAAATTGAATTTCCGAATCACTCGCGCAATACCCCATAGTAATGTCCAGCGGTTCTTTTTTCCATGAATCAAACATAAACGAACAAGCAGCATTTTATTGCATCTCTTGATGCATGAAATGGTCTTTATTTAGTGCAGTAAGATCAATTACTAGTGATTCATTTCTGGCGGTCCGTCTGATATCAACGGGATCATTTTGAATATGCCCTATGGCGGCGCCTATGTTGTGGTACATTTCTCGGTAAGTAGGGCACTGTTGTTGATAATATTGTCGTTTTACTGTTGTCACACATTGAGCTTTTACTCAGACGTATATTGTTAACTGACTTTAGTGTCCCTTTAAGTCCATTTTTCGATATAGTGTACTCACAAATATGTTGTAAGATTTTGCATGTTTCCATTGAAGGCTTGATGCATTCGATGGAAATTAATACTCAATAAAAACGCTGCTCTGTGGCACTTCAGAGAAGTCTGTATACACTGGAAATGCAATAAATATTTTTTTACGAATTCTATTATCTTTCAATGCGAGACAGCTCCAATTTTCGTGAACATTGTGACAATTGCAATCTTAGCCGTTGAATAGTTTTTTAGCTTGAAAAGTAGTGCCTAAATTAAAATATAGAGCTAAACATGCTGGCGAGACCTTAAGTAACTCCCTTCTGAGTGCAATACGTCAATTGATATTCCGCTTACCGAAGTCATTCCTATCGAGGAGGTACTTGAGAAATTCAATTATCAAGTAAATCTGCGACCGCAGATCAAGAGTGCCGAGACCTTCAAATGAGCACTGAAATGATAAAGAATCGAGCATTTATATTTGTTCTTAAATAGGAGCTGTCATACTACAGATATACCTAGAGTGTGCTTTATTTATTTTGCAATGAAGCAATGAAGCGGAGACAACATACGCCTATAAACTTAGGCGTGTCTCCATAGTGTGGAACAATGAGGTTGTTGATTTTTAGGTTCACCATGTATCATGCTTGTAATAATGCATGGGACATTTTTTATGAGCGTGCACATGACGGCCATGCTAAAAGACCTGCCATTTCAGTACTTCTAATGTGCCTCACGCTGCGACAGGACGCTACTTTATGACAAGACATAGAGGAAATTATCAAGAGTTTTATAAACACAGTCAGGACACTGTCTTGGTATCATAACACAACATGGGAACCATTGTTTCGAAGGAGAAGCTTTCTAAAATTATAGGTGGAAAATGTTTACTTGTCGTCTTGCATAATCCGAGAGCATGTGAGATATACGCAATCATCACTTTGAAAGCAACGCTGAAGAAGTCAAACATAAGATGCGACCATCCCTACATTTGGAATAGAGTTCTTATCGGGAAACCACAACTGTAAGCGAAAAACAAACCAGTTTATCAATTCACATTTATCTTGTAATTTAGAGGAAAATTGCACTGACGAAGACAAGAGGAATTGTTTTCACGTTCTCACGAAAACAGGCGTTATTTTTGTAGCACTGGGTAAAGCTAACATATCTGATCGTTTGTTAAGCTTCAACCCTAATTCTTCTAAGCATTGTTCTCGTTGACACATCCGCGTGTTCGCGAAATACTCCTATCTGCCTATATCAAGCAGAATAGCTAGGAAGTGCTCTAGATGTACCCATTTTGCACTTATCACGGCCTGCACTTCCCCTGAATATTTGAGCATTAATTACTCTGCGCATTGAAGGAGACATTTGAGTATGCCACGGAGGAATAGGTATACTGCCGCTAGGAATAATTATGAACATAATAACTTATCATTCGATGACGCCAACGTTGTTATTATAACCCTGATTCGCTTAGTACTGTGTAATGAAATGATACTCATGCGGCGAATTGATCTTTGCTATTTGCCGTTTATCAGTTGTATTCAGTAATAGTTGGCGGATTTCATAAGGTAGCAGTGTTGAAAAAGGACGCGACAGACAGCTTGATCTTTAAGATCTAAAAAAAAGCCCGGTGAAATGTACTCAGGGGATCGCTGCTGCGAAATAAACCCCGTGCGTTGCCGAGGTACGTTTCAAAAGGTAGAAATGGTGAATAATACAAATATTTTAGAAGTACAGTGTTCATAAAGACCACCGATTTGGAAAAATTGGTATTTTGTCTTAGTGAGGCTATCTTCATAATGAAATATGGAAGTACTAAGTTTTGTGCTGCATAGCAGTTTAACAGTAGTAAGTCACGGTAGTGTGAAAGCTCGAGTGGGAACTTTAATATATATCTTCCGTACGATAATGTCCAATGAGCTTGTTACATCCTACATATCATGTCTAGCCATTATGAGCAACGCTTCGAATTCGCGACTAATTGTGAAAAGCTCAAGGTTGATTTCCCGCCCAGTGAAGTTAATGAGAAAAAGAAATGATAAGATAATAGGAAATCAAAAATATCAGTTTTTAAAACAGCTCGACACAGTGGTCTTTCCGCTATTTTGTAGGTCGTCAAATTTGTATAGGTATCAGGATTTTCTATTTATCGCAAAGCGAAGTAAAATTTGAGACATCATATTACATTGTGAACATTGTTAAGTAAAACTGAATGCCGTATATTCACGCAGATGCATATTCATTGAATGGCTTACCTCTAGAAGTTTCCCAAGAAAAACTCCAATGCCTTCCTGTATGCTCAAGAAAAAGAAAAAAAGATGCATTTTAGTGCTTGGTTACTGTGCAGAGAAAGGAATGGGAACGTAGAAGGTTTGCAAAATGAAAGCAATGATGACTTGTTTGACAAAGACGGAGTAAAAAACAAAAGAATTACTGGTGAACTGGAATTTTTCGTCAAAAACAGAAGCAGTGGCATCGTAGATATTGTACAACGACTTAAGAATGATTAGTTTTCTGAGCAATATATTGAGTTTCCATTATTCGCTCCATGTTCCATACATATTGAGTGAATTGTCAAATGTTCCACGTTCTTAATACGTGAATAAATTGGCAATTGAGTATAGTGCTGACCCTAACACGGAATAAGCGCTACGACATATTCGTGTACGAACTGGCCCGACAGGTTGAAGCTAATGTGACAATAGAAGCTGTTCGATTGTATGTGATTCATACATCCGGTATACCACCTGTTTGTAATACAGCGAAAAATTAGCCCAGCTTGCATTGAAGGCCGTATGCCAAAAACATTCGAGGATATGAACACCTGTGCAGTTCTGGCTTTGGCTGTGTTGCTAAGCTTTGCAAATCGTTTCTTTGTTTTTCTCTTTGCCGAGTTTTTCTATCTCTTCCGTTTATATTGTTTTTCTGTCTTTCTGCTTTTCTTTCGTTATTGTTCTTTCAAGTTTTTTGCGCTACTTTCTCTTTATTTATTTCTTTATTTTTTGTCTTGTTTGCTCCATTTATTGCGATATCAATCATACAGACACTTTATAGACACAATTTCATGGACGACGCGTCAGCGAGTCGGCGTCGCCGTCATTCACCGTATGTGTATACGTATCTATATAAATGAAAACGCAAGGAGGAAAAATAATGCAGGAAAAGACCCCGTCATGCGGATTAGAACTTGAGACCTTTGAAGCGTGAGTGCGAGGCGTTAACCACGCAGCCAGGGAGAGGCCCGTCTTCAAAGTTCAAACTGCAAGTTATTCATATCTACTACTTACAGCTGTTTATGGGCATCTAGGGGGGCAACTATCGTGTTTTCCGCATTGCCAGCAAGATGGCACGACCGAGCGCGCGTCGACACATCGCGGCGCATGCTCTTATCACCCACGCGTACTTTGCCCCGCAGGAGAAGGGAGTGGACGCTAGCTATCGCGGCCTTATCTCGTGGTGGGGAGGATCGTACGTCTTCACTAGCCTTGAAATTTCACCGCAACAATTTTGTTGTAGTTACCGAATGCAAAAATGTCACTGCAATTGTTGCACAGTCTCTGTTTGCGAAAAGGGCGTGCTTTTCAGACAGGACAAAGTAACAGGTGAAACCATTATTCGCGTTTATCTGTACTTGTGAGTACGTTTACCGCGTCATTTGTTCGTGAGAAGCGTGGGGCACGTTTTGATCTGCTTGCTATTCTGCGCGTTACCTTCCAGTTTGTTGTCATTGTTCGCCTTTGCGGCAAAGTTGTGACTGTTACATAATTTACCGTTATGCATCTCACACTATTTCATTTCCTAGCAATGATGATCTTGGTGCACCGAACGTGGCTGATATCCTCTCAAGGTGAATGTACTGGTTACAGGCTAGGAATCAGCTATAAAAGTTTTTAGGCTTCAAGGCCTTTGATTTTTGTTTTTTTTTCCATTTGTGAATTTACTAAGCGTTAGCGTTAGGGAGCCCGTGTCGCAGAAATTCCACCGTCGGCGCCATTGTGCGAAAAATTTAGAAAAAAGCAAATTAATTAAAAAAATACAATTTTCGGTCCCATTGAGGATCGAACCCGGACCCGTTCGCGTGGCAAGCAGGTGCACTACCACATAAACATTATGTTACTTGCAGCTGCTTCTTGAAAACCACTACATAACTGCCATGTAGTGGAAGTAGTCTCCTTAAAGCATTTTATTCAACAGGTGTAATGACGAAAACGAGCTCATTCGGCGATTTGTAGGTGAATTTGAGAGGCCATCAAAATACATCGAAAGATGCCGGGTTAGTGCAGCTATCGCCACTAAGAACTCACAGGAACTTTCAAACAGCTATAAAAATGAACTATGTCAATCTAGAGGAAAACATGTAATTCCTTTCCAGAGGCATTGATCAAGCAAACAGCAAACGCTAGGTAATATGCTACCATCTGTGAGGCATTGTGAGACTCTTCATGGCCTCCGAAGCAGCAAGCGCGTGGTGTGTAATTTGGATGCCATGCGACTCTTGCTTTAGATAAAAAAACCTGCATGTACCATTCGCGCGCGCGCGCACGTGTGTGTATGTGTGTGTGTGTGTTTGTGTGGCATCTGTGAGACATTGTAAAAAACTTGTATCGACCACAGCAGAGTCTCGTGCTAGGAAGAGGTGGCTAAGGTACTTTGCTGCTGACCCGCAGGTCACAGGATCAAATCACGGCTGCGGCGGCTGCATTTCCGATAGAGGTGTAATTGTTGCAGGCCCGTGTGCGGAGATTGGGGTGCACGTTGAAGAACCTTAGGTAGTCGAAATTTCCGGAGCCCTGCACTACTGCGTCTCTCATATTCATATGCTGGTTTTGGCAGGTTAAACCCCACAAATCAATCAATAAGAGGGGAGAGACCACACTGCACAGTCTTGCTCGTCATTAGAGAGCTACGCAGGCCTGCGTAGGGTCTGAAGCCTTACTTGTCGGAGAATACAAGCAAAAAGTTCGGATTTCCAGAAAATTTGCGTTTATCTTACAAACGCTGGCTAAGTTGGAGATGAAATTTTCATCAAATGCCATTTCAATAAACCACAACACTTGCATAGATTTAGCTTTTCATTCTCACGACACCAATAAAAAAAAAGGGACGTACTGCAGTTACCATTTCACCGACCATAAGGCAGTGCTTGTTGTGGTTGGCCGGAAGAGGTCTCCAGAAGAACAAGTCGAACAAGTGCCAGATAACTAACGCAAGATGGACGACATAATGTGACTATTTACGAATAGAAGTGTCACGCCTACGCGCAGTTCATAATAAAGGACCATGTGACTATATCAGTGTACAATATTTTAATGAAGTTCTTATAAAAGTGCTGTTAAATATATCAAAAACCTGTACCAATACTATAGATACGTCGCGCTTGCGCGCGTGCGCGTTCATGTGTTTGTGTGTGTCTGCACCAAAACACATTATTAAGTATGCATTTAGCAAATTAAGACAGCACCGTGTTTCTCTATAGGCGCACAAGGGGCTGGATTTCGCTATCGCGTTCCACTATCAAAGGCGAAACTTAAGGGTTCTCCAAATTTTTTTCTCACTTTGTCATTCTTCTTATGTCATGCTTTACTATTTTTCCACCTCCTTAACCTGTGTCACCACCACATCTCATTTCCTCACGCGTACCTTATTTTTGCATCCTTTGGCTACACTTTACCACAGAAGTCTATGCTATGCTCTGCTAGCGCCCCTGTGGGGCCGAGTGGTTACGACGCTCGTCTTCACATGAAGGGTACGTGGTGGTGAATCCCATTTTCCTCGCGAAAATTTTTTTGCGAACAATTGCTGTGTGTCTCTTTTTTAAATTTTTGTTTACGTTTCTTTCTCCGTGTCTCTCTCTGTACTCGATCTCTTACCAATCATAATTATTACAGACTTTCTCTTACCACTTATAATTATTACAGACTTAGCCGAAAAACTCGGCTGCACGCGTTGTAGGAATAGAGCAGAAGAGCATGAAGACGAAGAAGTGGAACTTGAGAGCGCGTGTGGGCTGATGACGATAATCATATCTATTTATGACATTAAAATTATGGCGAATTCAAAGTTTTTTGCTCTTGAAAATTGCTGCATTTCCACATAGGACGCTAACTTTTACTTGTACTTTTGCCGTGTGATTAGGGCCTTAAGTGTGAAAGCCGAAGCAAGCCATGATCAGCAAGTATGGAATCGATTGGCATATTTGATGACAAGGAAAAGAATCATGAAATCGGGCTGACACCGTTAGAGAAGCTATTAATGAACGAATGACACATACAGTTTCTACTGGCCTACTTAAAACAAGTAAAAGACGAATACCACCCAACAATAACATCGTAGCAATTAGTGAGAGGACAATGTGCTTTGCAAGTGTGCAATATTTAGTCACCTTGGCGCAGTTTTTTCGATGCTTTAATTGCCTGGAGTCTATTGTTGAGCTACGCCTTAAGAATTAGATTGTATCTTTCTCTGATAAATATTAGGACAACACGGCTGCTGACCCGTACTTGGCTACTGACCTGCGACCTGCGGGTCAGCAGCCGAATACCTTAGCCATTGGACTACCGCGGCGGGGCATGGGACATACATGCGGGACTGCGTTATGGATTTAATCTCCATACGGAAACATAACGCGACGATGAACGGGCAGCAGGTGGGTCTATATAAATGTGTTGACAACATTACGGAGGGCGAGCTCATTGCTTACAACTCTCCCGCTAAACTGTGGGACCTAGTGGTGGCCCAAGAATTCCGTGCTGTCAAGAGCACCATGCCACAGGTGCTGCGGAAATCCGGTCACCTTTCGATTCAGAATGCTCGTTAAATCCCACCTGTGGGCAGAGGTTCCAAGCTTTTCTATATTAGGGTATATTAGGATGTACTCAATTATAATATAATGTTTTACCAAGCTTCAATATGCTTTCCAGGATATTTTCGATAATTACTATAGAAAGGCATTGTTCTTGCGACAGAATGAAAGAACCGTGACAGTCTGCAATAATCGACCGGTGGCTATTTGATGCAGAATGTTGTTTTGCGATATACTTTCATAAATATTTGTTCAACTGTGTTGCAATCAAAATCACCCATTTTAGTTCCAAAAGGCGAAGCCACACTGTACAAAAGCTTCATGAAAGATTGATCAATAAATTCACTTACGGTGTCAGCACTGCATAGGTTTCCAGAGTCACCTAGGCACTAAAAAGGATATGAGACACAAAATATCAAGAAAAGAACTTCAAACAAAACGGTGTCATCAGTTTTCTAAGCTTCAACAAAACGAACAAAATGAACCTTCTGCCCGTGTGAGTGCTGCGGTACATTTATTATTGTTCTAGACTTTGGTCCTCTAATTTATTGTGCTAAAAATTATTGAGTGGTAGAACACGTAATGTAGTCTACAATAAAAAAAAAGTCCATCAAGGCATGCACACTGAGATCTGTATTTATTAGGTGTTTCACAAAATGATGAGCCCATCGAGAACTTGAGCCAACGTATGCTGTGCAGACTGCGGTTACTTTGATTCTAGACCAGGAGCTGTCTGTCAGTGTGGTGGCTTTGGCTAAAAGGGCGAGGAGGCGTTTTTTTTGTCGTTACCCTGGAGACGATGAGTCGCATAGTTTGGAATGTTACAAACAGGTATATTAACAGAAAGCCTGCTTTTGAAAAGATTGTGTTTCATGGTATCGACAGCCAGCTTCAGTATTAACTTGGTGGCACATGGGTCAGCATGCTTATTGACTGAGAAACTCGCAACCCCTATGAAAAGAGACGTCTGACAACAAACCAGGACTTTAGGGCAATTCTTACTTCAAAAGCAATGCATTATCAAAATGTGCGTTGATCGATTCCTCTGAATCAATGTTCGGTTGTCTATTAGCCCGTTGCTACCGTCGTCGCTCATGCGATCGTGAAGGCCAAAAATACCATTTGTGCAGACTTGCACGCTTTAATTGCATTTTGTTTTACCACTTCACTCTTATGACGGAAAGTACTTGACATCAGATCAGCATTGTGCGCCTTCATTGAAGATGCAGTAAGGCTGCTTATGTTCATTGATCAAGTGCTTTACACGCTATGCAGCATACCTCGTAGTGATGGACAACTTTACATTATCAATAGCCTATTCAATGACGTTGTATCTGGCGCAGTTCGAATAACCAATATATCGATAAAGAATAGTACTGGCAATAAAACGCGTCTTACTCTAAAGACGCGTGTGCACTTTGAACTCTTGCAGACACCTTTGAAGCTAAGATATAGTGCAAATACTGTACTTGCAACTGATAACTAAATTAAGAATGTGCTGTTCCACTGCCATGAAATAAGGCCACTTTTGTAGGAAGTTGTAATTAATGATTTCTAACTCTGTCATTGTTCCGTTATTGTTAATGTGATGATGACCACTATACTCAATGGTAATAGTAGCCTGTCATATGTCCACAGAAAAGTCAATGCCTCTCTGTGAGATGTTAAGTAACAAACGACATGTGCTTCCCTTGAGGCTTTTTTTGCCGTTTTATTGGGCCTTTCATTATCACGCTAAATGGACCCTAAAGGTCACTGTTGATTCGACGTTGATTGTTGAAATTGCAGTCCAGAAATATTGCAGTGTTACTCTTGTGCCAAGGAAGTGCTTATTTTGAAATCAAATGCACTTTAGTGGTCTGAATAAAGTTAGCAGGCTTCAAATTACCTGCCTCAAGCGAGACGTGTCACTTCACTGTTACCGTGCACAACGTTACCCGGCTTTACAGCGCGGCCGCCGACACTAGAAGCAGCAAAACACAAGTACCGGGAACCAGAGATGCAACAACGGCCAATGAACAATTTTATGCCATGGCGTGAGAGATAGCAGGTGTGCTTGGTTCAACTGGGCCTCTATTATGGCACGACCTGTCCGTTGTAGCCAGGCGAAAATTAAACTTTCTAACAACTCCCGTCGTTCCCCATAGTAACGTCCGGCGGTTCTATTTACAGACGATAGTCTTTCATGGGGACCTTCGACACAAAAATTTCTGTCTGTCTGTCTGTCTGTCTGTCTGTCTGTCTGTCTGTCTGTCTGTCTGTCTGTCTGTCTGTCTGTCTACCTGGATGTCTCTCTGTCTGTCTGTACATTTGTCTGTTTGTTCACTCTTAACGGCACCAGGTACTTGAAACGGACAACCCCCTCCGCAGCGCCCACTAATTTTGCTCAAGATTTAGCGTTCATACTTGTGCAGTTGTCACTTAAAAAATTGGCCCCTTATCTGCATGTTAGTCTGCAAATGTCGTCGAAAGGCGATAGCCTTGCGTGTGGAGAGAGTGAACAAAACGTTTATTTCATGTTCTGTGCTAGAATATCGGTGAATGGTGTTCTGGAAGCACTGCGTTAGAGTGCCTCAAGCGTGCAGTGGAGGCGTACGAGTTCATCAGGTCACGCCACACGTGAGACATGAGCGCCATCTGGCAGTTTTCTTGGAAAACGAAGCGTGTGGCTCTAAGACGGGCGTGCGCGCCCGTCTCAGAGGTGATAAAGTGTAGAACGCAAGGCGACGGGTAGGTGCCACCACCGTCTCGTCTTAGCAAAGCGTTGGAAATACTCGCCTTTTCGTGCAAGCATTGCATGGTCAGTGCAGCGTGATAAGCGCTACGGTCCTCAAAATTACCTATATATGCCTTTTCTAATAAAAGACGCACATGCAGAATATTTACGTGTTGTTATGGTGCTCCAGACCTGCGCAATAATTGCTTTTTAATTGACAATTGCACAACTATGAACGCTAAATCTTCAGCAACATTGGTGGGCGCCGCGGATGGGGTCGGGTGTCAAGTACTTGGTTCCGTTAAGAGTGCACAAACAGACAAGTGTGCAGACAAACAGATAGACAGACCAAAATTGTTGCGTCGAAGGTCCCTAAGAAAAACTATCGCCTTTAAAAGCAATTATTGCGCATGCCTGGGGCCCCACAACAACACGTATATATTCTACATGTGCAGCTTTTACTAGAAAAGACATACAAAAGTAATTTTAAGGACCGTAGCGCTAATCACGCTGCGCTGACTATGCAACGCTTGCACGAAAAGGCAAGTATTTCCAACGCTTAGCAAAGACGAGATGGTGGTGGCACCTACCCGTCGCCTTGCGTTCTACACCTTATCACCTTGAGACGGGCACGCACACCCGTCTCAGAGCCACGCGCTTGGTTTTCCAAGAAAACTGCCAGATGGCGCTCATGTCTCACGTGTGACTTGACTTGATGCGTTCGTTCGCTTCCGCTGCACGCTCGAAGCACTCTAAAGCAGCGCCTCCAAAATACCATTCGCCGATTTTCTCGCACAGAACATCAAATTGATGTTTTGTTCACTCTCTCCACACGCAAGACTATTGTCTTTCGACGACATTTGCCGATTAACGTGCAGATACGGGGCCAATTTTTTTTCCATGACCCAAATGGGGACCAGCAAGCTGCATTATATTACATCTCTTGATTCATGGAAGGCTGTTTATTCATTGTAGCTAGTTCGGGTATTAGTGTATAATTGTTGGTGGTAGTTCCACGTCATCGCAATGACTTTGCAAATGTACTACGCATAGCGCACGTGTTCTCGTGCATTCATCCTAATTGCTCGGTAAGTACGGCACTGTTGTTGATAATATTGTCGTTTTAGACGTTGTCATGCATTGAGATTTCTTTATGACGTCAATTGGTATTTGACTTTAGCATGCTTTTCAGACCATAAAAAAGTCTGACAGTCTTTCAGCCTTTCTTCGAGCGCATAGTGTTTAAGGTATGTAATCACGACGTTTCTTCGGTTTAGCTGAGGCATCGGTAACTGCTTCCTTCATTTCTGAACTACCCGGTTGTTTTCCTATCTCTCAATTTTATACAACACATTTCTTGCTCACTAAGTTACTGCTTGGTTTGAAACGACCCCGTTCTCAGGGTTGCGATAAAGAGGTGCCATTTCTGATAAATAAGTAGCTTCATGACAAATCAAAATCGACAAATAATAATATTGATGCAGTTTGAGGCTCCCTTTCGGTTACTTGTCCGGATTTAGTAACACTTCCAACTTACCTTCGAAACGATTTCACTGCCCCTTACTACATATCAGACCCCCGATCATTGCGAACATTAGGCCTCATTCAGTGCACCCTTGCACATAGCCTAGAGGCTGACGACCAATCACAAGTGATCACGCTTCTGCCTTACTTCTCAGTGCACTTTTCTGCTGCGTATTACGTAGTTTAGAATATCACTGCCTCACATCCTGGACTGAAGCTTTTAATCACAGGTAGCAAAGAAATATCAAGTGTCGGTGAATATGCGACGCCAGTTGAAAATCCTAGGTTCAGAGATGAGAGTTTGCTGCTCAACAAACTTGATTTTTCAAATAGTTTAATAAAGGAACAGAAAGAAAAGGAAATTAAGAAGTGTCAACCAGTCTAAGAGGACTAGTATGACAGGACTAGTCTAAGAGGACTTACGCAGAGGAAAGACGTGGGGGATGTTTTGAAGACGAATAAAAAAAAGAGTGGAGGGAGCGCGCACCTAAAGTCGAGCATCATAGTAACCAAAGCACAGCAAGTTCAAAGGACATCCGTAGTAAGCCTGACTAAACCACACTTAATAAAGTAGTGTGGCCGTACAGTTGTGCAGTAGGCAGAACATTAGTAGCTCGATTGAATGCGAAATAGGCAATATAACACAACAACGAGATAGTGACGACATGAATTTAAATGAAAGCTATTAAAGTACAGTTATTCACTTTTAGGCAAAGGCAATTGAAATATTACCTCTACATTATTTAAGTTTGAGAGTACCAATGACATTTTTGTACATACCTCGCCAATGTCTAAAAAATTCGGTAGGCTGAAACTTGCACAATCAGGGGCTGCAAGAAAAAAAATGACGAAAGATTTTCAACACAGGGAAAGATGAAAGAACGCTTTCTTGATACGAAAATGAGAGAGATAATTGCAGACCCCTAATTTAATATTGATACGATATTACCACTTCACGTAACATGGTTTTTTACACAGTATCTTTTAACATCTAATTGTGAAACCATGACTATTCTAAATTATGTCCCAAGGTCTGTGTAGTGGTTTGGTGTCAAATGCTCAGCCTATTACTGGCCATTAGGAAGGCAGTGTGTTGTACTGTTCGTCGCTGCCGTTTAGGGTTATATTCTAGGCAAGCATAAAAAAAACGAGTTAAGTATCTGATAAAACCTCCAGAGTCTGGTCCACTAAATTTTTTACAGAAGCTTTGACCTTAATGTGGTTTATTCGCGAAGCGTAACAATCGCTGCTTACACTGACCTCAACTTTCTGGGGAATACCTTCTCCGTACCAAATCAATGGTCGAGCGAATATTCTATTAACATTTCAATGAGAAGAACCAACTTCTCAGTCATCGTGGTGATCAAAATAGCTCTTCTTTCCCACCATTTACACAGCTGGGAGCTGTAAAAAATTATGCCGGCTTCAGGCCAGTTGTTCGAAGCCCGAAGAAAGAGGGGGAGGGGCTTATTTGTATCACTTTATAATTTTTTCTCCCGCTTTTTTTTCTTTGTGCTTCCAGCAGTCCTATGTGCTTTTGCAAACTACTTTTCTTGGTCTTTCTGTGTATTTCTTTGTCTTCCCTCTCTTTTTCTTTTTATTTGATTTCTTCTCCTTTTTTAGTTTTTACCTCCGTTTCTCTTTTTTCTTCCTCTGTTTTTTTCATTTTTTTGTGTATAATAATTTCCACACATTTCTGTATCTTTACATGCCTTTTTCTGCATTTCTGTCTTTTTGTTCTTTCTCGCTATGTGCCTACTTTGTTGTTCCTTCTCATTCCTCTTTTTTTTTCTTATTTCCTTTCTTTCTAGTTATTTCTCTGTCTCTCTGTTCATGTGGTCAGTCCATTTTTCTATTTATTTCGTTTCCTCTTCTCTTTTTTTCTCTTTTTTTCTTGCACGTGTCATTCGTGCTTAAATTCACAGAGAAGAACTTAAGTTTAACACTCGCAGTTGCTGTACTGCGTAATGAAGCTTGTCCGATTCCTGTGACGCATACGCACCTGTGGGGTTTCGCATGACAGAGAACAAATTACCCGTAATTTAAATAGCTGCACAGTGAAGTCTTTTCAGTGTCAGTTTCATTGATTAGCATTAAAAAACTTGAGTGCTTGGTGAGGCAGTGCTCGTGCATACTGCCTTGTCTAGGTGTTGTCGTCCAACTTAGTGATAGGAATTATTTGAATTGCATATTCAGAGTAATCACAATGTGATGACAAAGTCACTCAGGCATGGGTTTGGTAGCTTCGTGACCGCTTTCGGAAAATAATGTTCATTAGTAGCTGGTAAGCCGCAACTCAGATAAGTCAAAAACATTAATTATGTTTCTTTATTCATTAGCATAAATAGGAGCGCGGTATATAATTCAGTCATCAGCTTTAAGGCGCGACTGAGATTTACATTGAACAAAGAGCTATAGTGCCGATTTACGCAATTTACGCGCTGATTTACAGATATATCTACACAAAGTATAAACAACAGTTTCCTTGCTCGTCAAGAAACAAATAACAGAGGCTGTAAAAAAAAAACAGAAAGAAAACACATCATTTCAGAGACCAGACAGTCTATAAGCAGAACCCTCTACTTCCGTAAAAGAAGAAACTTTTACGCGATACCAAACATAATCAGTATTTGAAAGATTTAGAAAAAATTCAATGATATTTTTGATGAAGAGCTGCACTATACCATTAACAAGCTTGGTATTGTCTATTATGAGTGATTAACTCTGAGGTAAGAATACGGAATTTGACGTCAAAATTTTGGCAACGCGAACGAATGACCGATTGCGACATTCTACTAAGATACATCAATTTTGTTACTTAGCGATGCAGCATTGGTTGCTGAAAAAATCTCAGTTTATTCTGATGGCCGTCTACTTTGGGTCTCTACGAAGTCTGGCACAATAAGCCCGGATGACAGTTTTTCCAACATTGTCCCTCACGTTATCAGCGCTGTCAATTAGCGCGTAATCATACTGCTATCTACAATTGGCTGCTTGGTTACGGTAAGCATGATGTTCCCACAGCTTCTTGTGAATTCGCCGCAGAACGGGTACTTTCCATAACGTATATTTTGGATCAGCTAAGAATCCTGGCATTTCAAAAGTTTTCAAGTGCACTTACAAAGTTAAGGAAATCAGACATTACAAGTGGCTCATTTTAGCTACCTTACAATAGTAAAGCAAACTTAGAACCTTACTGTTCACTGAATGGTTCTCAAGTCACTCATGTTTCATTTTCGTATAAAAAATAACAAAGTCATATGCCCAAAATTTAAACTGCTTAGGCATTTTTGTCCTATTTTTGCAAGCAAAAAAAATATTGCTTTTAAGGATAATCAAGATCTGCTCTTCGTCAGCACAAACATCAGCACAACCATCAATTATGAGGCTAAAGCAGAACAGAGGGCACGGGTAAACAATGCAGACAAATGTCTGATTGACGCTCTTTTAGGTCTCCAATAGAGATATTCATTCACTAAACGTTGCCAACAAAGTGGCCTGCAAGGAAAAGAAAATCTTGCAGTTCCGCAACATATGGGAGGGCTGCTAACTATGGAGAATGACCGCAATGTAGGATCGCATTGACGGGAAAGTATATCTACAGGCACATCTTCGAGCAGTTGTTCAGCACTTATATACCGTACAATAAATGGTGCTAATATCAGGGCCAGCAAACAGAAAGAAAAACGAGACCTTAGTGGCTGCACCAGGTGTACGGCAGCGCTACTGTCCGTTGCCTAGGGATGACAAAGAAGCGGTACATTCATGGTGAAATAAATACCTACATATTTACGAGACGTTGTACACGGCACCCCCATCAAAATTTTATGCCATAAAAGCTACTCAAAAAGCGTTCACCAGAGAATGGTAAGTCTTACCAGCTGCACCGAATACCAGAGTCGGAAATGCAGCGAATCCTGCGATAAGCAACACGTAGGAGTTCATCTTGACTGCCTTCATGAGCGGTGCAATTATCTGCCTCATCCGCTGATCTTCGCAACTGTATTTTATATTAGCGCGAGCGCACGTGTCTACGTGAATACGCCAATTAAGCGACTATGTTTGTGTGTCACTGAAGCACCGTATGTTTCACGTAAATGAAACGCTTGAAAAATATTTTGTCGACGAGTCCAGCCAACTTCCGGTAAAACACTTGTGGCCCCCCAAGCACGAACGTAGTAGCGATACCATTGTAAAAAACTTGCCCAGATGATTTGTTTTTTTTTACCCATGAATGCAAGAGTGGCGTTGATTGGTTGCTCTGCTATTTTTATCAGACCTATCGCTGCACTCGCCTTTTATGCTGTGCTAAATGGTGTTTTGGATCCATGAACACACGCCAAGGACAGAGTTTTTTTACAGAGATGTTGCTTCTCTACGCGTCATGTATACCTTATTAGTATTTTCTGCACGCTGGAATGTGATACCTTTAGAAGTTCTGTTGCGACTATGATTAGCCATATTTATTACTCACACGCCCGCTTATTAGGACGCGAAATATTCTCTCGCTGCCCCGCCGCGGTGGTCTAGTGGGTAAGGTACTCGGCTGCTGACACGCAGGTCGTGGAATTGAATCCCGGCTGCGGCGTCTGCATTTCCGATAGAGGCGGAAATGTTGTAGGCACGTGTGCTCACATTTGGGTGCATGTTAAAGAACATCAGGTGGTCGAAATTTCCGCACCCCTCTACTATGCCGTCTCTCATAATTATATGGTGATTTTGGGATGTCAAACCCCACATATCAATAAAATATTCTCCCACTGCTTTTGTCGAAGATTCATGCTGAAATATGAAGTTATAAAGTGATCATAGATGTCAAGAAAGAGCAGGAAATTTCAGTGGGACACGTGAAGTCGGGACGTTATGAGTCATGGTACGAAATGGTCGTGGGGATGATCTACTCGGAAGTGATCACCCTTGCGCATGTGCTCGTGTGTCATTATTGGTTCAGGAAATGCAGGAAAAGAGCGTGTTGGAACCGCAGTAGCAATATAGAAGCAATCATACTGATTCACCGGATTGGGAGCGCAGGAACAGACAACACACGAGGAAAAACCGAGCGGCACGAGTGTTTCCGTTGTTGGTTTCTCATTAACCAGCTGTTAGCATACAAGTTGTGTCGCTGTCGGTTCCCGTGCAACTAGTTCGCCGAAAAAATATGAACTATGAACTGAATATAAGTATGAACTATATATGAATATGAACTTCGAGTTTTCAGTGGAATGCCCGAGGCTTGAAGCCCCGTAATTCTGATGTCCAACCGTTTGTGTTCGAAAACCAGTTCGCAGTTATTGCTATTTGTGAGGCACGGCTACACAACGCAATACGACTACCCAGTTACGAAGCCTTCAAGTCCGTTTCCTGCAACGAACAGAGTAAATTCGCTGTTTATATCAGGTACGAGCGTATCTATATCGAGAACTCTGTAATACCTCACGATGGCAACCAGTATGTCTGCTTGACAGTAAAACGTAGAGACCTCACTTTCACGCTAGTAGGCGCATAGATCTGAAAGACTACGTGCACTCTTAACAACCACACCTAGACCACAGATCATCACCGGAGATTTCAACGCTCACCACCCACTGTGGGGAATCAGATGATAGATCGTCGTGGGAGGCAAGTATTCTCTTTTGCTTTGCAGCAGCAGCTGCTTTTTGTAAACGACAGAAGCCTTACGTTTCTACGGGGAACGACATATAGCAGCTGCCTTGACTGAACACTTGTGTCACGAAGCCCAAGTGGAAAGGTACAGTGGTTCGCAGATTCTGAAACTCATGGAAGTGATCGCAGACCAACTTATTTAAAGATCAAGGGCCTGGGAAAATCAC